GTGAGAGACTGCTGAATTAGCCTCAGGAGAGACCAGGCTGGAGAAGGACCCCCTGCTTGGTGAAGTCGAGGGGCAGCGACAAAGAGGAAGGCCCTTGACTAGGTGGATGGGCACCGTGGTGGCATCAATGGGCTCAACCATCAGACAGTGGTGAGGATGGTGCGGGACTGAGCGGGTGTCCTTCTGTTGTGCACGGGTCACTATGAGTCGGGACAGACTCGACAGCCTCTAACAGCAGCCACCTCAGTGAAACGAGTGAGGGACGTTTGGGATGGAGTGGAACTTTCCTTTTTCCCACTCAATTTCTCCTCAGGCCTGGGAAGGTCACCTAAGGGTACATGTTTTCCTTGAAAGGAGGTTCTAAATGCCTCTCACTGAAGAGCAACACCCCACTTGTCTTTTGGTGACAGGTTCTACGTCTGGAGCGAACGTGAGGGCCATGGAATATTCCGGTCGATGCAACTCAGAAAGGAAGCGAGTACATGGCGCCCAACCAGCTGGATTTGAAAACCCACCAAGTCTGGCCAGCCTTCAACGACAGAACGCTGCGTCTGGCATGTGGTGAGTGTCCTGCGGTGTGGCCAGGCAACTTCGCCTAGCTCTGTACCTGGAAGGTGGCTCATTGGTGGACTGGTAAATGTCCCAGGAGGTGACTCGGCAGTTTCACCCCGCTCTGTACCTGGGACCTACCCAGCCGATGGGATGGGCGGATGTTCTGGGAGTCTGACCAGGGAGGCTCCACCCCATTCCGTACCTGGAAGGTGGTTAGCTGGTGGATCAGAGCATTTCGGATCGTGTGGATCTGGGACGAGATCACGGACAGCACAGAGGCGTCGATGCGGTTAAACTCGTCAAAGCAGCCCCACGCCCCGCACTGGGCCAGGCCTGAGAAGATCTTCCCAACTGCCTAGAGGGAGAGACAGAGGTCCAGACCAGGGCGCAGTCACCTCTGCAAAAGCCAGGGCTGTGTCTGTGGGGACACATGCTAAAGCCTCCGGACTGGCACCTCCTATCTTGCTGGAGAGATGTCCAAGGCTGCCGCTACATTCTACTCATCAGGAGGGTTTGTGCCAAGCTCTGGGTTTCTGGCTTTCCTGAGATTCTGGGAAATTCAGCAACACTGGATCCACCTTCCCAAACGGCAGCATCTGCCCGGAGCTGGGGAGCCCTGGTGGCGCAGTGGGTTAGCCTTTGGGCTGCATGGCCAGTAGTTTGAGCCCACCAGCCGCTCTGCTGGGGAAAGATGAGGCTTTCTACTCCCATCAAGAGTTACAGCTTCAGGTCTACCCTGTCCTAGGGGGTTATGAGGCAGAATTGCCTGGATGGCAATGAGCTTGGGTTTTTTACTTTGGCTGAAGCTGCATGTGGTAGAGCATTGCTCCCCAGTGGATCACAGTCCCCACCCCTCGCTATGGCCTCTGCCGGCTGCTTCGCCCACTGGCCTCATGCAGCTGAGCCCTGTCAGCGCTGATGTCTGGGGTTCCTGCGCTCCTGGAAGCGAAAGGGCTTTGACTATGCTCCTCTCACCCCACCACGCCTTCCCACCATGGACACTTAGAGTAAGGTGACCAGACATCCTGCTTTTGGCAAAACAGTCCCAATTTTTAACAACTTGTCCTGCGTCCTGTGGCGTTTTTAAAAAGTCCTGAGTTTTGGAAAGAATGCACGACAAGCTAGGGTATACGGTTTTTGGCTGCCATGTGGCTATTTCGCCAGGATATGAGTTTTATCAATGGTGTCCCGCTTTACCAATGTTAAACTCTGGTCACCTTACCTTAGAGCCCTCTGCCCAGTGACACAGGACCAAAAGGGATACCGAGGTCTTACTTTGTAATCCATGCCTTCACCGCAGTTGGTTACCACACACAGCAAGCCCAAGGCTTTGGCGAGGTCCTTGGTGGTCTCGGTTTTGCCAGTACCTGCTGGGCCAGCAGGAGCTCCCCCCAGATACATGGACAGTGCCTGTTGTAGGTCAAATGCAAAACAATGCTCGCTGATTGGGCTAAGGAAGCGGGTGTCATTCCCAAGTTTAGCACGGTGATTAGATATTCC